GTACTGGTCTCCAGGTGATTCAATAGGTATATTCCTAATTTTGTGGTGCTTCTAAGATTGTATTTTCATGTTCTGTCCACTCTAATAAATTTTTGATATACTTTTCAAATCAAAATGGATAAGAAAGAAAGGCAGGTAAACTGAGAACTAGAAAGATAAAGATTAAGTAGTAAGTAGGCAAGTAGAGACACGTGGCAAAAAGAACAGAAAGTAGACTGCAAAAGTGGGATTTAGAACGAATGTAGGTATGTTTATCTTTTTCTACCTACTTCTCAGCTTCAAAAATGGAACTATATGTAATAAAAAATGTCAAATAAAAACATGTCAGATCCTTTTCAGGGAGTATAAAATCAAACTAGCAACCCCAAAGTCAAATTAGTACCAATAATAGAGAAAATTGGTTAAGAAATATATACCTGGATTTCTTCTTTGGATGTTTAATTTCTGCTCTTAAAAACTGTTAAGCTCTGGGGTAAGTTATCACAATGCCCCTCATGAATCCAGGAATTGTATATTATTGTTATATGCTTGGAATTTATCCAATTCATCACAATAAGTAAATAATCATAAAATCTTGAGTGTAACAAAATACTGAGGACATTTATCATAAAAGTTTTATATTCTTTTGTTTTTGGACGTAACCTTTCCAAACTCATTCTATGATGCTAGTGTCACCCTGATACCTAAGCCAGATAAAGTCACATCAAGGAAAGAAAACTTCAGACCAATATCCCTGAAGAACATAGATGCAAAAATTCTCAATAAAATTCTGGCAGATTGCATGCAGAAACATATTAAAGAGATAGTGCACCATGATCAAGTGGGGTTCATCCCAGGGATGCAAGATTGGTTCAATGTATGGAAATCAATAAATGTAATTCATCAAATCAATAGACTTAAAAGATAAAAATCATATGATCATCTCAATAGATTCAGAAAAAGCATTTGATAAACTACAACATCCTTTCATGTTCAGAACACTACAAAAACTAGGGATAATAGGAACATACCTCAACATTGTAAAAGCAATTGATGCTAAACCCAAGGCCAACATTATTCTAAATGGAGAAAAATTGGAGACATTTCCTCTAAGAACTGGAACAAGACAGGAATGCCCTCTCTTACTACTCCTACTCAGCATAGACCTTGAAACTCTAGCCACAGCAATTAGAAGAAAAAATATTAAAGGGGTACAAATAGGAAAAGAAGGACTCAAACTATCACTATTTGCTGATAACATGATTCTATACTTAGAGGATCCAAGATCCAAAAAAACTCCACCAGAAAACTGGATCCATCCTACATTCAAAAACACTTTTCAATACTTGCCAATGTGTTATAAATAGAACATAATTATATATGGATATAGGTGGACATTCTTTTTAAAAATCCACTCTTTATGTTTGGGAGGCTGAGGCAAGCGGATTGCAAATTCAAAGCCAGCCTTAGCAAATTAGCAAGGTCCTAAGCAACTGAAAGAGACCCTGTCTATAAATAAAATACAAAAATAGGTGCTGGGGATGTGGCTCAGTTGTTAAGCACCCCTGGGTTCAACTCCTAGTACAAAAAAAAAAATCCATTCTTTATTTATTAACTTGTAATATTTACCTTTGGTGGCAAAATACTTAAAATCATTTCTACAGAATCTCAATACCTGTATTCTAATTAGAAGAAACATGCCTAAAATCTTTTTAAGGATGAATCAAGGAAAAATAAACATGAAATGAGAAAATAGTACTACATTAACAGAATATTTTATTTGGGAATTAAATTATGACTTTGATTACAAAGACATAAAACTTATGTGGAAAGGTAAAAGGAGAATTTGGGTTCAGCAACTGTTCATATAATCATTGTCACTAAATAATTTTTGTAAAATATTTAAAAAGATGAGAGTAATGTTCAATCATTTAATTGAATAAATATTACAACAAAGGCATATTTAAGAATTTTGCAATCATATTTGCAGCTGGCTTTTTACAGCTCCATTTTATGTTTATGTATATGTATTTACTTTTGTTTTTTGTGGTACTGGGATGGAACCTATCACCTTGCACATGCTAGAAAAGTGCTCAACCACTGAATTACATTTTCAACCATTTTTAAAATTTTTTTGAGACAGGGTCTCACTAAATTTCTCAGGCTGGCTTGGAAATTGCAGTCCTCCTGCCTAGCTTCCTGAATTCCTGGGACAGGCATGTGTGATCATGCTCACTTTTAGGCAGCTCCATTATACTATTAATAACTTAATATTCTGGAATGCGGTTATTATAAATTTGGGGAATCAAGGTATAATATATAGGCCACATGTGGTGACTCATCTTTGTAATCCCAGCTACCATCTCCATATAAAATTTAAAAAGGGGCTAGAGACATAGCATAGTGATAGAGCTCATTATGCATGAAACACTCGGTTCCATTTGTAGTACTGAAAAAAAAAAAGATTTATAGAAGAGCCACATTCAATAAATACAAATTTATTATGTACAAACAAAATATTTTTCATCTAACCTTGACTAAAGATGAATAAGTATCTATAAATAATGAAGGCAAAGTAGTACCTCAATTCTTAAGGAAAAAAAAAAAAAAAAACAACACTGCCCTAAACTGACAATTCAGCTTTTAAGTAGCTATATAACAAAGGAATGATAAATTTAATTTGGAGTACATTGTTTTTTAAAAAAGGAATGCTCTGTACCATAAAGCTCTTTTGCATGTGACTAGGTCCATTTATCATTTGGAAATGGTATATATTTATGTGAATAAATAAAATTTTGCTGGTCTTTAAGAAAATATTCTTTTATGGCACTGTAGTATGAGAGTGTTTGACTTTAATTCAAAATTTTCCATTTACCCTACTTTTATTCAACACAGTACAAGCCAGAGCAATCAGAAATGAGAAATCAATAGATATTCAAATTGAAAAGGAGAAAGTCAAATTGCCATTGTTTCCAGATGACATAATCTTAAATATAGTAAATGCTGAAGATTCCACACACAAAAAAGCATTAGAAAAACAATTTTTAAAATTCTTCAAAGTTGCAGAGTACAATATTAACATACAGATTCAGTAGTGTTTCTGTATTCATCAATAGCAAGTTACCTGAAAAAGAAATCAAGAAAGCAATCTGATTTAAAATTGCTACAAAATTTTGATATAAATAGTTAAGGATTGTTTCTATAGGCATTGTAGAGTTTTGGAAGAGTCATTATGCCTACTTAATAACTGATCACTCTAAAAAAGCACATGGTGATGAATTGGTAGATTCTCTGGTGACTTTGCTGTTTTATGAGATAAGTTTTCCAATAAATGTTAGAGTTAATCATGATTTTACCTGAAGCAAGAAAAAAAGTGGAAAAACGTCTTCCAAAATTAAAATCTTTGTATGTGAATATGTGAATATTGACAATACTACCTAACATCTATTAATAAGAAATGAAAACATTTCATAAATAAAAATGAATACATTTTAATACACAACAAAATATTTTCATGTACACTTTTATTAGGTGAAAATTATCTATTCCATATAAGAAAATAGTTGTTTCTCAAATCATACCATCTTAAAACAAAAAAGTAATACACAACTCAGATAAACATTAATAACAGCAGTTTTTGACAACATTAGTCCTTAAAAGGGGCAATAAAATATTTGGTGTCTATATAATCAAACTAAGTGACTAAATCATAAAAAACTATATCTTATAAAAGAATTCTTTATGATTCATGTATTACATATATCACTTTGTTTTAAAGGTTATTTTAGCTTATCAAATTTGAACACATAGTTTTTAAAACAAAAAATCAATTCTTTGCTTTTATTTATTGGGATCATTATAATCTGAATTCTATTAAAATCAAATGGCAAAGGGAATTGTAATGGATACCTGAGGAAGACTATGAAAGCATTCATCCATAAGAACTAACAAAATTATTAGAAACAATTTAAAATACAGTCACCCCTTGGCATCCATGGGGGATTCATTGCAGGACCCCCAATGAATAGCAAATCTGTGAATGCTGGAGTCCCTAATATAAAAAGGTATACAGTATTTGCATATAACCTACACACTTACTTCTGTGTATTTTAAAGCATTTTTTGGTTATTTATAATACCTAATACAATGTAAATGGTATACCAATAATTGGTACATTGTATTATTCAGGGGATAATAATAAGAAAAAATTTATAAATTCACTACATATGCAACTTTTTTCCCTGAATATTTTCAACCAACAGATGGATAAATCTGCAGATGTAAAACCCATGGATACAGAGGAATATTCAGATAATTATAAATGAGCCATTATGAAAAAAATACTTCAACAGTTTTTGGCATTGAGAATAACTTTTACAATGAAGACAGAATATATTTTATTGTTCTTTGAAATCTAACTGCTACTCTCTGGTTGGAGGAAGGTGTTGGGAAATCACAACAAAGCATAGAGGTAAAGCATGAATTATCTATGTCTGCAGTGGGAAGAAGGTATTTAGAGTGGTGGTATCCCTTTTGGGAATGTGTTGATCATATTTTTACATATGTTCTCTTAATCTCAACTATTTAACAAAGTTTATATTTTTTTGTCATGGAGGCTTCAAAGATACAATGTAAGAAATGGAGAAATTTCCTCTGTACCAGCTATTTCTCCAAAAAATTTTAATAAAACATGATATATTATAAAAGATTAATATATATGTTATAATTTACCTTTATAATAATATATAGTGGTTAATTGGATATGAAGGAAAAAATCAACAGGTTACATTTGTATGACTATCGCTCTGAAGATGCTTGGTTGTATCAAAATATCATTATAGTGATTCATTCTTATAATTTCCTCAGAGAATCTAATTTTCTGTGGCCTGATTATTCTCTGGGAAATAACAACTTTTAAGTTATAAATAAATTTAACATTAATGATGCATTTTCTCAGAAATATGAAATTTTACTTCAAAAAATCTTTTTATTTGAAGGATTATTTTATTATAAATTCCAGTATTAATTTGTTTCTGAATATTTTTATACTCAGAAGATTCATATGCAAAATTTGTTAGCATTTCCCTATTTCTTCTTAGTAGAATTAAATATGTAACAAGTAACATTTATATGAAAGAATATATATTAGATTTTCATTGTATGTAGTTACAAATATTAAGTAGAATAATAGAATGCATTGTATTATTCTTTTGTTTTTAAAGTTAAAAAGATCACCTCTTAGCACACAACACACAGTGATCAATTTGTCACAATCTGACACTTACTGATCATAAGTATGTTAACCTGACAGATACCATAAAATAATAATATTTTCAATTGGAATATCAGTATGTACAAGAATTCAAAGTATTGTATTTTTCAGAGATTACTTTAAATATGAAAGAATTTTTGTTTCTTTTATATCTAAAGTAATAAGTAACTGGACCCAGTATGCATGCTTATAATCCCAAGGATTCTGAGACTGAGGCAAGAGGATTAGAAATTTGAGGACTAAAGCAAGAGGACTGCAATTTGGACTCTGTCTCAAAAAAAAAAAAAGAAAAGAAAAAGAATAGGGATTGGGTAGGGGCAGGTGTGTAGCTCAGTAGTAGAATACCACTGGGTTCTATTATCTATGATAAAAAACAATTTAAAACATTAAAAACAATCCAATAATAGTATTAACTTTTTGCTTTCGTAGTTAACAGCTGGTCTTTAACATAAAATTTTGAGACATGAATAATAAACAGTAACTAAAGATTGGCAAAGAATCCCCAAAATAATACTTGGGGCACTATATATTGAACACAACCGGGAAAGGAATGCTTTCCTAATAATCGAGAGGCAACCACTTACTTTTATAAAGTATTTCCCACAGTTTCTAATATCTGGAATAAAGCATAAGAAACACTCTAAAGATGCAAAACACCAAGCAAGCTACAAGTAATCAGAGACCTTAAAATGGTGATACAGATTGTGCTGTGGAAAAGAAATCTTCCAAACACAATATGGTTCACAGTTAGCCTTAAGATATCTTATTAAAAACAAAACAAAACAACAACAACAAAAAAAAACAAGACTATTATTTACAGCAATTTTAAGTTCACAGGAAATTGTAAGAGTGATTATATTATACTTAAACATTTCATCACTATGGGAATGTTGTCCAGAGTCTGAATATTAATACAATAAAGCTGATTGAATCATGGTCAAAATTAGAAATGAAACACATACACCATGTTTTGTTTGTTTTTCTTTAGACATACTGAATGCACAGGAGGCAAGCAGGAATTTACTGTGTGCTAACTGATTTCTGTAACACAACCATTTATCTAATATGAAAAAAAAATTGCCATCAAATTAGAACTTCAATTTAAGCCAGACATGTAATAAATAATGCCACAGGAATGTTATTTACACAATTTCTGTTACATATTTACTCAGTGCAATATGGTAATAAGTGGCAATGATAATACTCTTTTAAAAAGGTAAAAATTATAACAGCAATAATGCATATTGATTTTTATAGTTCTTTTCATAATTCAAAACTAAAGTCATTTATTGAAATGAGGTGCTTCTTGTAATTATTAAACCTTAATCAATGTAGCTGTTGATCTGATGTGTAAGTTGTTCTATCCTTACTGTATTTTTCAGACCACTTGCGAGTTAGTTCCAGATAAAGACTTGGTTTATGAGGCCGATAATCCAGGTAAACTGTATTACTGGTTCTTTTGGGTACAGCTTTTTCAATTTGAGTTCCTTCATGCCACTCATTAAAAGAGGTGATAGAAATTAAACTGGGGTGTGTCTGAAGAGCAGCACTAAGCGCAACTTCATAATACTTCCCATTGATTCGGTTCCGAGTGTTTTGAGAGTTCCAGGGACGAATGCTGGTATCTATGTATCCTGGGCCCACACTTGGAATAAATATTAAATTGTATTTATCACAAAAGTATTTTAGGTTAGCCCAATTCTGATGTGATGAACCATAAGTAAATCCATTTGTGGCAAAATATGTGTAAATTCCATCAAAGCCACTTTTAAGAATGTCATATTTATGTTTTTCTTCTACGAGAAGTGCAATAAATAATCCATCATAAGGAGAATTGCGAACACTCTGAGACCCTGACGTGGTTAACAGATTGGCCCATTTTTCAGGTTTAGTGATATAGGAATCATAGACATAAAACATAGGAAGAGCATTTCCAGTCTTTGTCTTATACCTATAAAAGGCTGGGTGATTTCCATACCTAGAACACAAACATATTTAAAAGAAAATTAATATTCACGATTTTTTGTACAGTTTAAGTACACCATTGTTCTTCAGGGAGTTAGTCATAAAAATATAATTAAAATGCATTTTTATTTTTAAACATTAAAATACTGGATATATTATCAAACAAGATATTACATTACTAAACAATATATTAAGTACACTGAGGTTTATGAATGGTGACAAATGCCATAAAAAGCCCATTATTTTCTACAGGGAATCATAAACTGATTATTTTATATCAGTAATAAGCATTCCTTTGTTGTTGACAAGTGTCTTTTGTAAGAGTATGGCATCTGTCAAAGATTACTATTAGTAAAATCCTTTAAAAAATGAAACTATTTTAATAAATTCTTTCCTGTTAATGATACTAGATAGAAATAAAAAATAGGTAAGTGTCTATTGGTATAAGTAACATTATCTAAACCTTTTTTAAAATATAAAACTATATTTATATGATTTTTAAAATATAAACTTAAAAATCAATGACAGAAATCATCTTATAAATGTAAAACAATAAAATCAGCAATCTTTATTCATGCAAAAGTAACTTGTAAAAAATGTCAAAAATGGTTGGGCATTGTGGGTCACACCTGTAAACCCAGTGGCTTGGGAGGCTGAGACAGGAGGATCACAAGTTCAAAGCCAGGTTTAACAAAAGCAAGGCACTAAGCAACTCAGTGAGACCCTGTTTCTAAATAAAATACAAAATAGGGCTGGGGATGTGTCTCAGTGGTTGTCAAGCACCCCTGAGTTCATTCCCTGGCAACAACGAGAACAAAAAATCAGAAATGTTCCTCAAAAAGTTTGAGATGTTTATTGTGAATATAGTCTAAATTAATTTTATTAAAATTCAAAGTTCACACACCATTCAAATTTCAAGTATAATTTAAATGTGGCCTTCTTATAATAACTATCACAGGATAATACAACAGTAATTATATACATTGAAGAAACTCACTTGTCTATAATGTACTTGACATTTTTGTACATGTTTTCATCATCTCGATTGTTATATGGTTCTATGTGAAAAGTAACCTAAAAGAAGAAAATAAAATCAATTACAGAAAAAAATTATCTAAGGTAAAAATAAAAGTGAATTATATTTTATATATTTTTAAAAGTGACTGATTCAATAACCTTATCTTAAGGTCAATTTTTTGTACTTAGAAGATACCAGAGAATTCTTAGTAATAAGGGTTTCCTCTGCTAATCAATATGTGAAACTCTATATTTATTACTTCAGTTAACCTTCAGAGTTCCATAAAGTAGTTACTGTCTCCATTTTCTAAATGAGGGAATTTAAAGTTAATATAGGTTCAGTAATATTCACAATTTGTTTGACATAGAAAAAAACTGTTAATGTATCAAAAATGAAGGTAATCAGTAAAGTTTAAGTACACCATTGTTCTTCAGGGAGTTAGTCATAAAAATATAATTAAAATGAATTTTTATTTTTAAACATTAAAATACTGTACATATTATCAAACAAGATATTACATTACTAAACAATATATTAAGTACACTGAGGTTTATGAATGGTGACAAATGCCATAAAAAAGCCCATTATTTTCTACAGGGAATCATAAACTGATTTTTTTATATCAGTAATAAGAATTCCTTTGTTGTTGACAAGTGTCAAAGTGTAGGAATGTTATTTACACAATTTTTGTTACATATTTACTCCTCAGGGTCATCCAGTTTGTAGTAGGCAATATAGATAATCTGAATTCAGAACTGAATTTAGTGTGCAAATATTTTATGAAACACGTCAAACACTGTACAATACTTTATTAAAATATCTTATCATAAAAATGTATAACATAGAAATATATCTTTACATTGTACATGAAATATATAGACACACATTCAATATTAAGATACATATTTTTAAATGTTTTTCCTAGTGGATTACAGTTATTCATGAAAGTGGGGCTCATGCTATATGGAATATAATTATCTCTACTTCAGTCCCAAGTACTTCCTCTTCCCTTTCCTACTCTCTTCCTGTTCCCATTCCTCTACTCTTTGGTCTGCCTTCTATTTCTTTATAGGTTTTTTTTTTTTTTTTAATTCGTGTTTGATAGATATACACAAAGGTGAAATTCACTATATTTGCATGTGTGTGTATGTATATGTATGTGTTTGTGTGTGTGTGTGTGTGTGTGTGTGTATATATATATATATAATATTTTCACTAAACTCACTCCACTGTTCCTCCCTTTTCCCACTGCCCATCCCTTCTCTACTCTGTTGATCTGTATTTTTCCTTAGTTTGTCTACTTCTGAATATTAGATAAAACATTTGACCCTTAATTTTCTGATTCTGGCTTATTTCACTTAGCATGATAGTCTCCAGTTCCATCCATTTACCAGCAAATGCCACTATTGTGGGCTGGTTCCACAACTTGGCTATTGTGAATTGTGCTGCTATAAATACTGATATGCCTGTATCAATATAATTTATGCTGATTTCATTCTTCAGGATAATACCAAGGCATGGGATAAGTGGGTCATATGGAAGTTCCACTCCTACTATTCTCTTTTGAGGAAACTTCATGCTGCTTCTCACAGTGGTTGTAGTAATTTGCAGTTCCACTAACAATGTATAACTTTTTTCTCACATTCATGCCAGCATTCATTATTATATTCTTAATGACTTCCATTCTAACTGGAGTGAGAAAACATCCCAATGTAGTTCTGATTTGCATTTCCCTATTAGGAACATTGAACATTTTATCATTGATTTGTTGATCATTTATATTGCTTCTTTTGAGAAGTTACTGTTTAGTTCTTTTGTCCATTTATTTATTGGGTTATTTTATTTTTTGGAGTTAAGTTTTTTGAGTCCTTCGTATATTCTGGGTATTATTCCTCTGACAGAGGAGAAACTGGGAAAGATATTCTCCCATTCTGTAGTCTCTCTTTTCATGCTCATTTCCCTTGCCATGAAGCAGCTTTTTAATTTGATGATGTCTCATTTACTAATTTTACTTCTAGAACTTTACTTCAGGGGTCTTGTTAAGGAAGTTAGTGCCAATATATTAAGTGTTGACCCTATGTTTTTTTCGAGCAATTGAAAAGTACCTGGTCTAATTTCTAGATCTTTGAACTATTTTGAGTTGATTTTTATGCTGGGTGAGATAGGGATATAGTTTCATTCTTATATGTATGAACATCCAATTTTCTAGCCATTTTTTAAAAAATGTTATTTCCCAAACATATATCTTTGGCACCTCTGTTAAGTATCTCATGACTGTATCCTTGTAGACTTGACTGTCTTCTCTTGTAGTCCACTGATATTCCTATCAGTTTTTATGCTGATACCATGCTATTTTTGTTACTATAGCTCTATAGTATAATTTGTGATCAGGTACTGTGATGTTTCCACCATTACTCTTCTTGCTCAGGATTACTTTGGCTATTCTAATTCTTATTCTTCCAAATTAATTTTTGGAATGCTTTTATCTAGTTCTGTGAAGAATGTTATTGTATTTTGATGGGCATTGTATCGAATCTGTGTATTGCTTTTGATAGTATAGCCATTTTGACAATATTAATTCTGTCAAGAACATGTAAGGTCATTCTATCTTCTAAGGTCTTCTTTAATTTCTTTCTTCGGTGTTCTACAGTTGTCATTGTAGAGTCTTTTACCTCTTTGGTTACATTTATTCCCAAGGATTTCTTTCTTTAGGTTATTGTGATTGGGGTAATTTTCCTGATTTCTTTCTCAGATTAATTATTGGAGATTTAAGCATTAGAATATATCAAATTGGCAGGAAATAAAACTCATGTCTCTATAATAATATTGAATGTAAATGATCTAAACTCTCTAGTCAAAAGATACATATGGGAAGAAAGCATTAAAAAATAAGACACAAACATATGTTGTTTATAAGAGACTTAATTTTCAGGCAAAGACATAAACAGGTTAAAGATGAAAAGATGAAAAAGGATACACCATGGAAATGGAGACCAAGCACAAGAAGTGGTAGCTACTCTTAGACAATGTAGATATCAAGTTAAAATTAGTTAGAAGAGACAAAGAAGGTCAATGCATACCAAATAAGAGAATCATTCAATAATGAGATATAATAATTGTAAATAATTATGGCTCAAGTATTTATGCACCTATGTACACAAAACAAACCCTTTTCAATATAAAGAAATAAAGAGACCACTATACAATAATACTGGGTGATTTCAACACACCCCCTCACAAGACATAAATTAAGATACCTCAGACTAAAAAATACTGTTAATCAAATGGACCTCACAAACATCCATAGAATATTTCATCTGTAACAACTGAATTACTTTTTTCTCCATGGCACATGGAATTTTCTCTAAACTAGATCATATTTTGGACAGAAAACAGATCTTAACAAACAAACAACAAAAACACAGATATTAATCCTTGCATTCTATCAGATCATAATGAATGGAATTAGAAATCAATAAGAAGATAAAGAAGTAGAAATCATTTTAACACTTGTAGATTAAATAAAATGCTTTTGAAGGAGGAATGGGTTTTAGAAGAAATCTAAGGAGAAATGAAAAGATTCTTGGCAACGAATTAGATCAAAAAGAGAACATAACAAACTATCTCGGGCAGTACAAAGGCAATTCTAAGAGGAAAGTTTATAGCATTCAATTCCTACATTAAAAAAAAAAAAACCCAGAAAGCTCCAAAATAAATAATCTAATGTTACACTTCAAATCCCTAGGAAAAGAAGAACAAACTAATTTCAAACTCAGTAGAATACAGGAAATAATTAAATAATTAAGATCAGAGATGAAATTGAGAGTAAAAAATAAATATAATAGATCAATGAAATAGAGAATCATTTGAAATGATAAGCAAGATTGATATCTTTCTTTAAATGTCCAATTAACCTGTACTATTATAACAAATTACTGACAAAGTAATATCTAATAGTGATATAGAACAATAACTTTCATAGTGCTTATGCTATTTATATCTTAAGTCTCTATAATAATAGTAGAAAGCAGTAATTAAAATGCTTTTGGCTGGGGATGTGGCTCAAGCAGTAATGCGCTCGCCTGACAGGCGCGGGGTGCTAGTTTCGATCCTCAGTACCACATAAAATAAAGATGTTGTGTCCACCGAAAACTGAAAAATAAATATTAAAAATCTCTCTCTCTCTCTCTCTTTAAAAAAAAATGCTTTTAAATGTGCTGTGAAGAGATTTAAATTTTCTACCCAAAAACGATTATACATTAATCTAGAAAATCTGATTATGACTAATAAAACTATCCTGTAGGCCACTTCAAATTGTAAGGTAAACAATACAGATGATGACTTCCCATAAACTACAATCAATTTAATATTAATTGATTAATAAAAGAAAAAAATATAACAATTTTCACTTTTATTCCTAATTTTACTTATTTATCAACAGGAATTAAAAAATTTATCATTTCTCACTAAAAAAAAACTGGTTCACTGATATATTATTCTTCATGGTGTAGGATAGGGAGGATATTGTGAGTAGAAACAATCCTACTCTGATTTTTATATTCTTTTCAAAATCAGCTTACTGAATTACAATTACAAGTGCTAAAGCCCCTGTTCTAGCAAATATTTAGGGAAGATCCAGCTCTTTTGGAGACTGGATCTAATAACAGAAGGGAGCACAATCCCTTTATTTAAATGGGGAGGAAGGCCAATGGGATTAAGAGTGAAGAACTTCCTGAGGAAAACAGGAAAAACATGGCAAAGACAACTTGGTTGGGGCTTAGCAGGTTGAGCTCACCTCTACTGCCAGACAGCTGCATTTGAACCTAAGGCTGTCTGAGCTAATGGACATGGTGTCCGCATAATCTTAGCAGTCTCAAATTGAGGGACTTTCACACAAGAGTTGTCAGAAAAGCAACCCACCTGCCTTGAGATGGCTCAAACGAACTCATAATTCATTCACAGCCCCCAACACATTTTAAAAACCACCTGAAAGTATAAAAACAGTTTCTTGAGCTCTCATTTCCTAGGACTATTTCAGGGACTGATCAGAAGAGTGGCCCTTGAATTTGTTTTGTAGAAGTGACATCAATAATTTATCCAGTCTCAGAGATGGTATCAGAACCTGCAGATTTCAGATAGCAATGAAAACTCACTAAATGGCACTGAGAGACACAGCAGGTGACAACTTTCCTAGTCAGCTTATTTGAGAGATGCTATCCTAAGTTTCAGGACTTTAAATTTAAGAGGAAGCAGCTTTATGAAAAAGTATACAATAAAATGTGTGCCTATTTAGCTATTTCTGTCTCCCTAGAGTTCCACTTCTGTTCCCTAATAACTACTGAATTTTTAAATTGCAAAAAGAAAATTAAAACAAAACTAATTTTTCATATATTTATTTTGAAAAAAAATTGACTGTGATTCAAATAATCTTTTACACAATTCAATGATAAGTTTTGGACAAACCAGTCTATGCTCAATTAGGGTATATGAACTCTAAGAAGTTAGAGACCAGGTTAAAAAAACCTCAACAAATTTAGTAATGTGAAAACTCAAAGTGAAGTGTCCCTTGTTAAAAGCCACTCCACTGCACATTTTCATTAATATTTGCAAACACACTGAACTGAACAAGAATAAACTTGAAGAAATATGAGCAACCTGAAGAAAAGTAAGAAGTATCAGACATGAAATATTACTGCCCAAATACAAAGAACAGAGTAGATGATATAAAAAAAAGAAAGAAAGAAAAAGGAGGAAAAAATGGTATCATGAGCACAAGAACAAGAATAAACATTAGTTTTATATTGATTTTAAGTGCTTCTTAAATTACATTATTAGGTTACCACATGACATGACTTGTGCCTTTTTTGTATTGTTTCATTGAATTCTTTCTCCATACTGAGGCAAATGTCATACTCTTTAATTCCTGCCATTTTATAATACATTTTGTTATCTGGAAGACAATTTTCCTTCATTTACCATTCTTTAAAAGTCTTACTTGAATCAAAGATATTTATAAACTTTTATAATTTCTCATCAAATTCATGTTTATTCATTTATGCAGATTCTATATTTCCCTCAATAAAGTACTGAAGATTTTTTTGTATATCTACTGATTTTATCTTCAATGTAATTTTTTCAATTTTCTTCCATAATTTAGGAATCCTATTGAATTGTACACTTTTTGGCACCAGCCACCTTACTGAAATCATTATTATTTAAAATAATTTTTTTAAGATTTGTTCTTTTTAGATACACATGATAGTAGAGTATATTTTGACTTATTATACATACATGGAGTAAAACTTATTCTAATTAGGATCCCATTCTTGTGATTATATATGATGTGGAGTTTCACTGGTAGTGTATTAATATACAAACAGAAAAATTATGTTTGATTCTGTCTTTCCTAGTCCCATCCTCCTCCCTTCCCTTCATTCCCCTTTTTCTAATCCAATGAACTTCTATTCTACCCTCTTCCCTGTTATTGTGTGTTAGCATCTGTATTTCAGAGAGAATATTCAGGCTTTGTCTTTTGGGGATTGGCTTATTTCATGAAGCCTGATAGTTTCTGGTTCCATTCAATTACCAGAAAATGCCATAATTTCATTCTTCTTTGTGGCTGAATAATATAATATTCCTGTGTGTGTGTATAAAATATATATATATATATATATATATATATATATATATATATATATA